CTGAGCCCTTGTTCCCCAACCCCAGGTCATCCTATCTTTACACAAAGGTCTGTAAACATTTGTGGATGGACCTGAGGCTGTGTGGTCCACATGCACAAAATGGGAACTAAACTCTCAAGAACATGTGAAGAAAGCCTTTGACTTCAGTTAGTTGAAGTTCCTTTGGGTATCAGCTGTTGAGGGGCTGGTTTTTATGACCCTTCCCAAGCCACCTGCAGCCCAGTTCCTGCTCTCCCTACTTTAGGGGAGTCTCCGGCTCATCTTCTCTGTGTGGCCATCTTCCACACAGAGCAATTATGTAAGGATTTCCTTCTGGAGCCTTCTGTTCAGAGCTCCCTCTCCAGGCCGGCTCTTGGGCAAGGGCTCTGAGGATGGGTTTGGATGACTCATTGTCTATTAAAATGCCAACTTCCAAAATTAAAGGACTTGTCTCCCAAGAGCATTGCCTGCCTCCTCGTCATCTTGAGCCGACCCTACGGTTGCCCTGGACAACCTCTCAAGTTAACCAGTTCTGAATTTTTATTAGACTCAGCTGAGAAATGTGTCCTCTTTCTAAAAGTTTGATTTTACCCTCATTCTGAATCTTGCCAGAAGTGAAACCTAACATACACACTAGAAAAGCGAGTGTCTTTTCAAAACCCTCCTCTAATCTACATGTGAAGGTGTCTTAACTGAGGTAGTAAAGGGACCAAACTCTGGATGACAAGTGGGAAATTGATGCTTGCTGCTTTTTGAGGCCACAAAAGGGCTGTGTGTTTTCTCCCTTCTGACTCTCCAGCCTGCACGGTGCCTGGCACCCACAGGTGGCCCCAAACTGTTCCATCCGGAGCCCAGACAGAGCTAGAATTCAGGAGCAGGAGGGATGCCTGTTACCCTTTGCCGGGGGTCCCCTCCTGCCATTTTTCCATGATCCTGGATAACGAAGAGCCTCTGTGCAGCTTCCTAGGGGGTTGGCTTAATGGCTGTGAACTGCTTCCTCCTTCCTTCTGAGAGGAAGCACAGCCTGGATCTTCCGAATGGGATCTCCATGAAGTGGCTGTGTCTCCTCACTCACCACTTAATTTAGCTTGTGATTTAATTTGGGTGGGCAGAGCCCCCAAGTGGTTCCACACCTCGCCATGGCCATCATAGCTCCCGGCAGCCCCGCCAGCCACAGCGACCCTTGCCTGGCCCAGGACTCCCCTCTGCCTACCTATTATCTCTTCTCCCTGCACAGCAGAAGGAAGGCTTGTGAAGAAACATGATATCCTTTCCAAGGAAAAAGCCTGTAATTAACGGAGGTTTTTTGGGAAGAACATTCTGCCTGCTCCTCTCCCTCCCACTTTTTCATTTAACATATTTTATCAGAATGAAATGCCTTAATGAGCACAGAATTGCAGCTGATCCCAGCTGCACCTCCATGCTCCGCACCCGGCTTCCCGCTCCCATCAAGCTGTATTCACATTCACTGTGATTGGGGGCTTCTTTCAGGAGCACCCCTCCCACCCCAAGAAAACTGACAGTAAACTCATGGACTTCCTGTAGACAGAAATGGGTCAGAAAAGCACCCCAAACCCTTGTCCATGCTACTTAAGAGTTTAAGGAGGAAAGGGGGGAGGAGAGAGGGAGAGAGGGCAGGAGGAGGCAGACAGTGAGCACGTGAGAGTGTGGGTCTGCATGTGGAGTGGGAACGGGTGTGTGCACACCTGTGTATGTGCATTTGTATGCATGAGTTTCTGGGCTGAGTTCTTGTGTAATGACTTGGAATCCATTATGTGTGTGTTAGTCACTCAGTCATGCCTGACTCTTTGAGATTCCATGGACTGTAGCCTGCCAGACCCCTCTGTCAATGGGATTTCCTAGGCAAGAATACTGGAGTGGATAGCCATTTCCTTCTTGAGGGGATCTTCCCGATCCAGGGACTGAACCTGGGTCTCCTGCATTGCAGGTGGATTCTTTACCATCTGAGCCACCAGGGAAGCCTTTTGGAATCCATTGGGAAAACACAAATACTGTACAGAAAACATAATGGAGACTCTATTTTCTGTCTGCTGAAGATTCATCTCCCCAAAAGGATCAGCTCAACTTGGATGCCTGATTCCGGTGGAAGTAGTCTGACCCTAGAGGAGCCGGGACAACAATGCCAAGATCCCCCAGATGTCCTGTGTCTTGGCTACCATGGGCGCCCAGGACAGTGTTCACCACTGGGGTGGCTTCAATCGCTCACTCATGCATTCATTCAACACAGGCAGTGCCTACTGTTCACAGCACTAGAGATGCAGGCAGGCCTGGCCTTCAGGAGGCCTGTCCTTAGATGAATAAATAATGAGCATGATGTCGGAGCATACTAAGTATGGAGGACATACAGCAGGACAGCAGGACAGCAGGGTAAAGACAGACCAGCTCAGAGAAGGGCAGTAAGTCAGGTCAGATCGCTGACCTCCGCCACCCTCTCCTCAGAGCAGAGGGACCCTTAGAGAGGAAAGGACATGCACCATTCTCATCTCCAGGAAACCTGCTGGGTCAGCGCCCAGTGCTTCCCCACACATAGCCCTCCTCCTGGGGCAGAGCTGGGCTGTGTACCCCGGTTCCCCTGCAATTTGGCCAGTGGGATTCTGGCCCAATTGCTGTTTGCCACGTCCAGGCCCAGCCATCCTGTGCACTTCACTCTGGAGGCCTGAGTGACCACCCCCAAGTGACTGTTTCAGGAGCAAGAAATAAGCACGTACTGAGTTACGTTTCTGAAATTGTGGGAAAGCTCGTCATAGCATCAGCCCACCCTAAGCCACCCTCTCTTCCTGCAGCCTGCGTCAGAGCAGACATCGACTTGGAGGTAGCCTCCCTCCAAGGGCTGCAGACACATTGGACGTCTGAGGAGCAGAGGACACACTCTCTCCAAACCACAGCAACGCTTCAGACTAGAAAACAGGAGAGCTTGCCCCCCAGTGACTCTGAACTGTGTCCGCTGGTTTCCGGCATGTGGAGTGTGCGGCTCTGCCCACTTGACGCCGGACGCCTCGCCTGGTCGCCAGCAAGGCCAGTCATCAGGAGCTTGTGTGTACAAGGACCTGAGAACCTCTGCCTACTGCTGCTTGCCTGCCCGATGTGCAAGCTTTGTGTTAACTTGGGAGGGGGTGCGTTTTCCCCCATTGGAGCATGCAGACATCACTGTGGCTTGTGAGAAGACGTGTCCCCATCAACATGCCCACGGGCCGGTGGGGTGGTGAGCCCCTGCCAGTGGAGGGACGCCGGCCCTCCCCCTGCCATCACCAGCCACAACTTCTCTGTCCCTGAGATCCTGGAGGGGGTCGGGAGGAAAGCACACCTGTGTCTTTTCCTCCATCATCCAGCAGAAGACAGACAGGGCAGGACTAACGGACCCAGCAGATCCTGGGGACCCTCACAGGATAAGGCTCTGCCCATGGAAGTCTCCTCCCCTTTCACAGGCCTGTGTGCAGCCTGAGACAGAGGAGGGAATTTCCACGAGTCAGGTGCTAATATCATTAACCTGGGAGACTGGGAACCAGGGCGGCAGAATATTCCAGCAGTGCTTCTGACTGGGTGGCTGTAAATCTGAGATTCCAACAATTCCTCTTCGGGTTCAGGTTGGATTAACATGCTAGAGCAGCTCACAGAATTCAGAAATGTGCACTCACTAGCTTGTCAGTTTATTGTAAAGGCTGTGACTTGGGAACAATCAGATGGAAGAGGGCTGCAGGGTGAGGTGGGAAAGGGGCACCCCAGATCTGCATGTGCTCACCCCCCCTCTGAACCCTGTCCTTTTTGGTTTTTATGGAGGCTTCATCACGTCAGCATGATTGATTAAATCATGGCCATTGGTTCAACCTCCAGCCCCCTTTCCATCCTGGAGGTGGGGGTGGCAGGAGTACAGGTCCCAGCCCTCCAGTCTCAGGGTTGGTCCCCCTGATGACGAGGGTCCCCTCCTTTCCAAAAGTCCCCTTGTGCATAAACTCAGCTGTGCTAGACAGGGTTTCTTATGAATGTCTATAGACATCTTTTTCACTCTTATCTTTTAGGAAACTGCACAGGCTTTAGGAGTTCTGGTGAATAATGGGGATGAACACCAAACTATATATTTCTTAAGTCACAGCATCACGTGTGGAGAAGGCAGGATGATGTTCATGACAAGTCACTGTGGCTGTGATGTGTGTGTGGTGGGGTGTCTGACCTGGGGTCCCTGTGAAGTTTGTGGCTTCATCTCTGCATATTAAACACCACCCTCCCTTTCTTCATCAAACAGAATCGGAAACAAAACAGACAAATCAGGCCAAGGAATGAAGATGACGCCTTAATAACGGAGTGGGGCAAGGCACTCTCCACGGAGGGCATTATCTACCGGAATTCTCACTACCATTTTATCAAATTATTGCTCATATTGGGTTGCAATTTTCATTCAGAGGGAAGAAGAAAATGCTAGTTGATGGCCTTGATTATTGAAACATGAATTTGTGAAATGAGTCTTTCCCTCCTTCAGGAGAAGCAACCTCATGGTGGCTGTCGGGAGCTGGTAACACCAAGGGAAGGGACACAGAACTGCCCCCTGGCACCCCAGGCTCATTCTCAGGCCCTCTGACTTCACCAAGGTCGCTGTCAGCACAGACAAGCCATCATTCTCCATTTAGCATCTTAGTCACAGTGGGGAAGAAGTGTGAACAAACAGATCAAGGGAAGATGTCAGAGGTCAAGGGCCACGACCCAGGTTCCTGTCCCATCTCCTCCCATGCACCAGAGTCGTCACTTGACAGTGACCGGAGAGAGAGGACCCAAAGTGAGCAGGCCTGTCCACCCTGGAGGATGCGGCCGCCTTCTGATTTTTTTCTGTTCTGTGCAATACTGATCTTGTTCCTGAAAAGGCGAAATCTTGATCTTCTCAGACACCCAGTGCAGAGCCGTCCCAAGCTCCAGGAACATGCCCATCAGGCTCGATTCTCGACATCCTGGGAGGAGAAGCCTAGACTAAAGCTGAGAGTAGCCCCCTTGGCAGGAGGCTCTCCACTCACCCTCACCAGCTGCTGCGGGAAGGGCCCGCGTGAGTTCTCCGGCACGTTGATGGGTGGGATGACCCAGTCCCGTTTCTGCCGCCTCAGCCCGTTGGAGCTCTGGTGCTGCGGCCATGGCAGCAGCGTGTCATTCGGAGGCTGGACGGGGTCCAGGGCTGCGTTCTTCTTTCCTTTCTGCAGAAAGGGAGAGAAGAGGCAGAGAAGCCTGGTTAGGTTTTGCAGAGGAAAAGGCATCACTTAGAATTTGTGTGTGTGTGTGTGTGTGTGAATCACTAAGTCGTGTTAGACTCTTTGCAAACCCATGGACTATAGGCTGCTAGTCTCCTCTGTCCATAGAAGTCTCCAGGCAAGAATACTGGAGTGGGTTGCCATTTACTTCTCCAGGGGATCTTTCTGACCCAGGGATTGAACTCTGGTCTCCTGTATTGCAGGCAGATTCTTTACCATCTGAGCCACCAGGGAAACCCCCAGAATCTAGATCCAGGAGAAGACTGGATGGTGTTGGGAAATGTGTGTGTGTGTGGGTATGTGCTAGGGGGGAAAATTCTAGCAAGCCTCTCATCTGTACAAAGAAATGGACTACAGATTGAGTGGGGGTAAAGAAAATATAGCTGACTATTTAACAAGTAGATCAGGGCTTTTAAAGATGAAAATAATGGGAAAAAATGACAAAGGAAAGTACTCATACATTTTAATTTAAAACCCTTATTTATGGATGCTGCTGCTGCTGCTGCTACTAAGTCACTTCAGTCGTGTCCGACTCTTTTCGACCCCATGGACTGCAGCCTACCAGGCTCCTCCATCCATGGGATTTTCCAGGCAAGAGTACTGGAGTGGGGTGCCATTGCCTTCTCCATATTTTTGGATGAATTTACAACAAATATGACCAGAGTTAATAACCTCTCTATATAAAGAGTTCTTACAAATCAATAAAAAAATGGAACTTTATTATAACAGGAAAAAGACCACGAATAGATAATTACAGTAAAATAAATACAAAGGATTGATAAACTCATGAAAAATGTTCACATCTTCCAGTTATAAAACCAAACTAAAGCAGTGTATCTTCCTCACCCATCAAAGTGACAGGAGTAAACAAAGTGAGTCCTTGGTATTGCAGTGTATGCTATGAGTCAGCAGGGGGTGATGGTTGAGGGTGTGGGATTTGGCATCACACAGACCCTCGTCCAAAGATTTGTGGACATGGGGCAGGGACCTCAATCTCTCTAAGCTTCAGCTGCTTCTTTTATAAAGTAGGGATGGTATAACAGTACTGAATTCAGAGAGTTGCTATGGAAATTAGACTGATAAGAGCCCATGCCTGATGGGAACCAGTGGGACTGGGTGTTGGCTGCTCTGAAGTCATGGACCTCCCCACTGCTGGGACCAGCATTTAGCCAGTGACTGTCAAGGGCCTCAGAAAAAGTCCTCGCTCTTGACCTATAACTCCAGAACTGAAACCTGTCTCAGTGAAACTGTGTGGAGAAAACCCTACAAATAAAGATGTTCATTGTAGTTGTCTTTATGATAATAGTGTGCAAATATAAAATAGTAAAAATATCAGGAAAAAATTTTGGAATTCTGATAGTAGTAAATAGTAGTTAAATTCATTGCACTACCTTCATATTTTGGGATATTACATGTCATTAGAAGTTACTTTTTAAATACATGAAGAAAATTTCATACAATAATAGCAAATGAAGAAATGGTGTCAAAGTTACGGGTGATATGAGTCCCATGATTTTTTTAAAGGGTAGAGAAAAGGCTGGAAGGAAACACACAGAAATGAGAACTCTGGCCTTCTCTAGTCACTAGTGAGTTTTACTTTACTTGATTTCTTTTACCTTTCTATACTTCAGGATGTTATAATGTACATGAAATTCTATAATTAAAAGAACCCACAGAACTCCTGTGTACATGTGACACCTACCCCTGTGTGGCCTCCAGGTTTATTTTCAAGGCCCCCCGTGTGGCTGCCTCTGCACCGTTTCCACAGTTGATGTTCATTTTACTCCAAGCCTCAGAGCCAGGAGCACACGGAAACTCATGGTACAGAGACAGACCTTGGACCAGGATAGCCCAAGCCTGGTTGGAGGCACCTGGCCCTACATGGCCCTTCTCCAGTCATGGTGGAGTCTCCACCCTCAGCTGAGCTCTGAACCCAGTGAGAACCCGCTGGTCTTGGTATTGGCCACTGTGGACAGAGAGCCTCCCTCACTCCCTTTTGCAAAAAAGTTGCATAGAAATGTTAGACACAGGCAGACAAAACTAGCTGATTAAGAAAACAAACAAACAACTTGTATCCTTCCTGAATGCCCAAACCTAATGTTGATTTTTTGTTGTTGTTTAGTCGCTCAGTCGTGTCCGACTCTTTGCGACCCTGTGGACTGCAGCACACCAGACTTCCTTGTCCTTCACTATCTCCTGCAGTTTGCTTAAACTCATGTCCATTGAGTCGGTGATGCCATCCAACTACCTCATCCTCTGTCATCCCCTTCTCCTCCTTGCCCTCAATCTTTCCCAGCATCAGGATCTTTTCCAATGAGTTGGCTCTTCCCATCAGGTGGCCAAAGGATTCATACTTAAGCTTCAACATCATTCTTTCCAATGAATATTCAGGGTTGATTTCCTTCAGGATTGACTGATTTGATCTCCTTGCTGTCCAAGGGACTCTGAAGAGTCTTCTCCAGCACCACAGTTCGAAGGCATTAATTCTTCAGTGTTCAGCTTTTTTTATTGTCCAGCTCTTACATCAGCACACAACTACTGGGAAACCATAGCTTTGACTGTACAGACCTTTGTAGGCAAAACCTAATGCTACATCAGTGGAGAAACCTATCTAGGCTAACAATACTCCACTGAGACCCCCCCCCCCCCCCCCGGGACTTTCCCCACCAGAAGCCCAGCTGTCTTCTGTGTTGAATTCCTGCATTTAAAAGCATTTAAACTGCATTTAAGGCAGTTAAAAACCAAAAGCTTCCCTAGGTTGCATCCCACCTTCACCAGAAGGATCCGTGTGAGGTGTGTGCATCCCCAGAGGCCTGGATCCTCCCAGCCTTGTGACCAACCCTGCGTCTCTCATGATGATGGTGGGGGGTCGTCTCTAGGCTCCTTGATGAGCATCACAGAACAGCATTCAGGGAGGTCCTAGCTGCATGTCCCCAATTCCCTGGCAGCCAGAAGGTAAAAGTGTTAGTGGTTTAATTATGTCCGACTCTTTTTGACCCCAGACTGTAGTCCACCAGGCTTCTCTGTCCATGGGATTTTCCAGGCAATAATATTGGAGTGGGTTGTTATGCCCTCCTCAAGGGAATCTTCCCGAACCAGGGATTAAACCCAGGTCTTCTGCATTGCAGGCAGGTTCTTTATCGTCTGAGCCACTAGGGAAATCCCTGGCAGCCAAGATGCAGATGACTGCTCTCCATGTGCCAGAGTCACTCTGTGGTCACTGAACGTTCTCCACCGTCTCTGCCTGCATCCTTCCTCCCTTCAAGGCCTCAGGAAGGTTATCCCTTCTCTACCAGTGGACCCAGGGAGGCCAAGTCACTTCTGAAGGTAGGATCTGAGTGCTGGGGTCAGACCTCAAGGTTGGAGCATCTGGCTGCATGCTACCCTCACTTCCGGGGTTTCTTCATCAGGTCACATCCCCTCTAGGAGTCCTCACGTCAGCATGCTGGTTAGACAGGGACTTTCCCAACTAAGAGGCCCAAAGACATTGGTTCATCTGAGTTCCCCGCAGGTCAGCTTGCAGGTTAGAAACACAAAGTGTGAGATCCCTGCCTGGACTCACGCCCTCTGGGGTGATGCCTGTGGTGTGTGTTTACAGAGCCCTCCAGGGGACCAGGGGGCTATCACCCTCCACAGACGCAAGACCTTGCTCCTCGGGAAATGAGGGTCACCTGTCCTAGCAACTGCTTCAGAAGACGGGAGTGAGACAGTGTTTGTTCTGAGCTTGTCTGTGTGAGGGCAGCAGATGGAATCAGCCAAATGCACCTCGCATGATGGTGGGGGTTGGTGGGCTGGGGCAGGGGTACCAGCCACAGGTACAACCTCTGGGAGGTGGGGACTGGATATCTGGGCTCCCCCCACGTCTCCCTGTGTGCGGTGCAGAGAATGCAGGTCTACCTGGCCACCTGCAGAGGCTCAGCTGAGCCTCTGAATCACAGACTCAGGATTTGAAAGGTTTTCATCGAGCTGTTCTGTTCTCCTTTAAAAAACCTGCCTCATTCTCCTCTGCTGAGGCTGTGCCTCCATGGCGTTAATTTCCCTAGTGTTGTTTAAATAAATTGCACATATTTGCTACTATTTTAAAGCTGTGAGACAAATGTAATAACAAAATCTGGAGAAGATCGATGCCAGACCTGCGCTAGCTTCGCCGGGACGGGAAGACACCCTGTTCCTCTGGGGGAGGGATGCTGACGCCGACATGGACGAACCGTTGCTAGCGGGCGAGTGTGCACTTCTGGACCCGTGATGACCTCAGGCCGCTCGGCTCACAAACCCCGACGCACAGTCACACAGATGGGAAATAATGCTGTGGCCGCTGTGGAGAGCATCTCTGAGCCGCCGACAGCCGGCATTTCCCCATGCGCCAAGGTCACCAGTGCTTCTGGAGCCATGATGGTGGATGTCAGGTGAGACACGGATATAGCCTCTGTGCTCCTGTTACTAAAAGCCACACATGTGCGTGCTCTTGTCCAGGCCTATATAGGTATATGCATGTATGGACACAGACAAGTATGCGTATGTGTACATGTGTACATATGTGTGTGCTCTTGTATGTCTCTCTCTCTATATAAGGTGTCACAACTTTCTCAGAACCAACAGCCTGGCCCTGACTCGATGACCAAGCCCACGTCACTGGTTCCTTACAGACACTTCAGCTCAAGTCAGAGGCCTTGTAACCGGTAAGGGGTGGTTCCTGACTGCCGGGCTGGCCTTGGATTCGGCCACACTCGTACCTGCAGGTCTGCAGAATGGCGAGCACTGAGGAAATCACCTGGTGATTTCTGGTCGGACCCTTGACCCAGCCCACCCACCTGCAGAGTGGGCGGCTGCGGGGATGGTGTGCAGCGGGGTGTGGCATTCGAATCCTGACGCGGTTCCCCTGAATTCTGTACATCACCCCCTGCATGTATGTCCTGTGAATCTGGGTGGAGTCTGCTGGCTCTGGG